TCTGCTAACACGTTAATCTATCCCTAGATTATTGTGTTTTCCTGATTAGGTATTTCTGTAAACATTTGTAAACATTGTGCATGTGAGTAGTTAGCGCATCTTGTTTTGAACCCGGTGACTTGAGTTTGATTCCCAGTAATGGCTTACATCGGTGACGAATATGTGAAACAGTCCAGGGCCTGCCCTTGGTGACTCAGCCCTAATTGAGTTCCTTGTGTGGTGTGTATAAAACATCAGCACTAGGAGAACAGAGATGACTGGGCGAGGCGTTGACCACACTATCCATGCTCTTGCGCGCGCCATGCCAGCCTTCGTAGCTGCTAACAGCAATGTACCTCGGCAGTCTGTGTGACTGTAAGCGAGACCTTTGCCCGCACGTGTGTGTGTGTGGTGCGGGGGGTCGGGCATGGTGCTGGTCACCTACCCCCCTCGTCTGCCGTGTCGACCTTCATAGGTGCTCGCTAACAGCACTTGCCTCGACAGTCTATTAAGGCTATACGGGGTATCGTTGTCTTTGTTGCAGCGGTGCGAGTGAACGTGCTCGGTCTGGCAGGGGAACACGAGTTCACCCTGTTGGAGCGGGTCGGGGTGACGGTGGAGGAAGTGGCCATTGGCATCAAGGAGCGAGTAAGTGCTCGCATCAGTTTCAAAGACAATGCATAAATTATCAGAGTATTGTTTTTTTTTGCATTTGACTGCAAGTATTGTGGTTAATGTAAACATGATTCCTTGCAAAAGGTGTCAGTTTTGTTGCCAGAAAAAATTGGAAAAACCCTATTAGTGTCATGTTCCGTTCGTGGCTCTGGTGGCGAGAGTAAGTGCACGTGCGAAGACCAGCGGAGTGTGAATATTTTTTTATCGGAAGTATAATGAATCCGTGCCGAGTGACACAGCTATCAATCCTGTCCGAGAAATGAAAAAAAACATTCTAAGCTGGGCAGAGTATCTGAACTGTGCTTTGTTAGAATAATTTAAGGATAAGCACTGCTGTGTGACGGTCGACCGACACATCCATGCACTCTTCTTTACGTTATAAAGAAATGGACCACATCATGTGCCAGTGGAAACATTTAACGAATAATTGTCATTACGGCGCGATACAAGTTCAACATACAAACATACAATTCTGCATGAACCTAGATACTAAAGTCATTATACCACATACATTCAGTTTGTGTATTGTAGCCACTGCTGATTTGATTTGATTGTATATGTGGCTGACTGGTGCTATGCTACTGTAATCCAGAGCTTTGAAGGAAAGGGTTTTCGGATCAAATACAATTTTCGTAAAATGCTAAAACCTGTTGGGCTGCAAGATGGACAGGAGAATGCATTCCTGCAAGTGGGTCTGTGAACCCATCTGTGTAGATCTGTTGAGTGAAATCCCCTCACATATCTGGTAGGGATTTTTTTTGGGTGCTCCGGTATCATCCCACACTATGGGTGTGAATTGTTTTTGAATGTTGACAAGGGCTAAAACTTTTAGATTTTGCTTCAAACTCTGTACAAAAGTGTGCTGCCTGCAGCGACGCCTAGAGCACATGTCTCGCAGTGCACGCACGCGCACAGGAGGTGGCCGCGTGGTTTGCTGCTGGCGTGTGGCTCCGTGTAGCCCCGTCTCTCTCCGTGTGTTGTCCCTTTTGCTTTCTTTAACTCTGTTGTTTTAATTCTTGGAAGGCAACAGCACCCCAACAGTAACTGCGTAAATGCAGTACTCATCCGTGATTTTATTATTGTTGATTTAGTAACGTTTAAACTCTTTTAAAAGTTTAACATTTTCATAAATTAGAAGCTGTCTAGTACCCCGATCCAACACTAAAACAAAACCCTCATTACAATGGAATTGGCTGAACATGTTAATGAAAATGAGTCTTGAGACTTGGTGAGATTTTCTGGATAAGTAAAATTATATTATTGCTCGGCTGGAATTATTTCCATCAATCCAAGTGTCTCGCTGTACCAGCACCCTGCTGTCACAGCTTCCTCCTTGACCTTTCCAAAAACAAAATCCTCATCTTCCCGCACAGCCTCATAACAAGCGTGTCTTAATTTTTACCCAGTGTTTTTATATAGTTATATTTAGACATGTTCGAGGTTATTTTGTTAAACCAGGCGAGAAATCAAGAGACCGGGATAGTCGAATTTGCAAGAGTGACCTGGGTCAACGAAATTACAAAAGAAAAAAATATATAAAGTAAAGTATAGCCATGAAGCAAACAGAAACCAAAAACAACTTTCACATGAAAAATCTAAACTATTGGAACATAAATCACTTCCAAACAATCAATTCCCTGTAGCATAAGCCGGCTTGTGCAGATTATGTTTAGACGCTTTATACATTCAAATTGTATCTTTTGACTGATTTATCAATTAGGCGTAGGTAATTGCATTTCATAAGGAAATTTGCTATTTTTTATAATTCTGATTCGAAGCGTGTGCTTGGTCAATGTAGCACGACGGTTGGGGCACCATGGTCCGCCACCACACGAGGCCTACGGCTTTGCCCCAGCCCACAACCAAACTGAGAGGAATATTTTTGAAATAGCAACACTGTGTGTCTAATTTTAGCACACTCAATCGTTTCTGTCACCCACTGCAAGGGGCTTTTGCAGTCACAAAAGTAACCGAGTTGTGTGTTCACGTTTGACCTGACGTGCATTTGAAAGTCCTGTTTTAGCCCCTTGGTAAGGGGAAGATTCCCCCACCCCTGATTTCACAGCAGTCGTCATTCCCGTTGCCCATGACTCAGTGCGATCAAGACCCCTGCGCTGTGGCTTCCTGGCAGGTGGCCCTGCCCACGTTCACGCTGACGTGGCCCGACGGCACCGAGATGGCGCAGCAGTTCCAGCTGCGGGAGCCCAGCGTCGCGCTGCGCTACGTGGCGGCGGGCGACGCACCGGGGCTGGCGTGGACCTGGAGGGTGAACGGAGGCCACCTGGAGAAGCGACCACCTCGGATCTCGCCCACATCGTGATGCAGCTGGCGGTCGGGGGGCGGGGGGGGGCGTCTGCCTGTCGTGGGGCGTGGTCAGGAGCGGACCCTGAATCGACGTGAGGACGGTCGTGAGGACGGCCGCGGGAGCAGACGCGTAGCCTCCAGGCCGCGTGCCGCGTGCCACCGCCGCAGAGCCGGCTTCCACGGAGTCGACGGTTTGATTCTGACGTAGACGCCGGTAATGTCTGTGGAGGGGGTGGCTAAAGTGGCAATCTACTGTGAAGACCAACCACGTAATGTTGGTAAAGACTCGGCATATGAAGAATCGGTGGTTCATTAAGTCACGGATTGAAGTCAGATCAGTTCTTACGCTCAAGATAAATGCACACAATCATATGCATGATAATCAATTATTTACCACTGATTAGAATTGTGTTAATGTGACGTTAAGCCTCATATGCAAATGAGTCGGATTGTGCAAAGAAACACAAATGAGATTGCCAAAACGAGACAGACAATTGTTAATTGAATTGCATTGTGACTCTGAATGATAGCAGAATTGCTGTGGGGTGAATATGTGTGGTGGTGAAACATCCTGTCGCCAATTTGAGAGTTCACTGGCACGCCACTAAAACATTGAATTGAAAATGCTACGATACGTAACATAATATCGGGCTAGTTTGCATTTTTTACTGTTGTGCGTTTTATAATGGGCTGTACATATTTTGGGTGTGTGTTTGGAAGTTGTAATTTGTATATCACACTCATCCTTGTTTTGTGCCCATGACTGCTATCCTCGCTTTCACACGCAATGCTTTTTCAGCCACTTAATAAAGACCATCACGGTATCAATGGAACAGCGCGTCGCATGGTGTTTTGGGGAATCGCTCATTAGATTTAAGGCAATCGGGAGTTGCAATAATGTCAACTCTTACCAGAGCCACAAGTGTTACTACCAGACCGCCCACTAGACAGCAAGTGACCTGTTCTGCATTAACAATTTCCAAATGCATGGCGAAGCCTACCAAGTGATGAGCACGCCTTTGTTTTTGCTGGAGTACGTTTACATGTGGTATTCGGTTACCTGTAATGAACACACCTGGGAGGCAGTCATCCGTGAAAGCATATTGGGGGGGTGGGGGGGCGGGTGGTCAAGTGGGGGCCCCTGAAATGACGTGCAGACGGACGTTATGACGGCTGTGGGAGAAGATTCATAGCCGCGTGGCCTGGCTGCTTGCTGTGTGTCTTCATATTTTGCGGTGGGCATATTTTTGCTTGTCCGGAATTTATTACATTCACCCTATCGTCGTACTGTCACGGGACGAACTGTCCGTTCGGAATTGTCGTAGGGCACAGTGCACGTTTGAGAATGGCTGGCGGAGAGAGCCATCGGGGTACTTATGAGATCAAATGAGGCGATCTTTTGCTATCTGCACATTGGGGGCACACATTCACTTACACCCTGCTCCAGAAATACGTTCGTAGTAACAGCAGTCGAACTAGAGCTAGAATGTAACCAAATTAAATGAAAAAACATTTCATGTGCATGCACTTTTCCAAGTTGAGTGGCACAAGTTGATTCTAGGTCAGAGGTCGTCTCAGTTTAGCGTTGCTCTGGTGTGACAAAAATATGTACCACCCTGTGAGAAGTCAATATTGGTTGTGGAAGAATAAGCCTCTGGGCACGTGGAAGGATAAGCCTCTGGGAACGTGGAATTCCCACCACTGGCTCAGCACTCACCGAAGGAGATGAGTGCCTTTCTCGTTTGAGCAGAGACAAATCTTCACTTGAGCTCTGATGTGCTGCTGAAATGAACACCGGCTGGAAAGCTGTGAGTGTGAGTGCCGCTCCGTGCACAGCGCCGTCCACAGAGGAAGCCATCAGTCTCGAGGCCGTGCCTCACCAATGGCCACGTGGACACGGGGAAAGTTTAAACAGGTCGCGGCACAACTCGCAGTTTTAGAGCGAGGCCGGTCCACAGCAGCCTCCCGAGGCTTTTGAAGCGATCGTAAAGCGGGTTTCCAAGAACGAGTACGGAAAAATGACTCCACTTGTAGCAACAGTATTCGCAGCTACGGCAGAAGATTTTTATTGGAAAAATAAAGTTGGAAATGGTTAAAACAAAATCACAGATTCACTGATAAAGACTGGGGAGGCCGTCATCAGGGAGTGGATTGACAAATGTACAATATTTGTGTGTCATTTTCACGACTCGCATTTTTATATTCACCAGCATTGGCATGAGCAATCGATTTCAGAGATGCACCTTGCGTCTTCGTCTTCATAGCGGCTCTGCCTCATGCGCATTCACCTCAGCTTTCCGCAATGATCCAGCATCTCCGCATCACCTGGCGCCTTTGCAGTGTCATAGCTACGGAGGAGGAATGTCCCTTCAGTTGCGGTGCTTATAATCAAATTGAAATTAAATTCTGATGGAGACACCTTTACCCGTGCGGCGTTGTGTTACACCAACGACCGGCACTTAACTCCTCATGTTCCTGGAAATAATTACACCGCTCTCCAATGTCATCCTCATTCGTATGAGCTCAGCTGCGGGGGACCATATCTGGAGCAATCACTTTGCTTCACGATTTGTGTTGATCATTGCGATTAATTATTAAGTGTGCTAAAATAAAGCATGGGAAACGCTGCGCGTGGCGCTGTTCTACATGGGCTATCAGACAGTACGGTCCGTTCAGCCAGGGAAGCCTCGCCGAGTCTCGAGACTCAATTTTCAGGCAGGTCCTGCATTGGGATGTTTGGCGACATTTCTTGAGTTGTTTTGCTTGAGGGAGGCAGATTCCACTACCCAGATAATATGGAGCATACGTGCAGAGCGTAAAAGGTAAAAAAACAGGTCAGCAAACCACTTTTGTGTGCTACCGTATAGTGGCCACCGCGCGGCTCAGCTAATTGTGAATATCACTTTTTTGACACTCTTGAGTGATCCGTTAACCCCTCCTCCAGAGCAGGAGTAATTTACCAGGAAAACATATAAACTGGAAGGGCTTCATGGTTTTTAAGCCAAATACGATATTGTATTATCCTGCTTCTCAAAAAAGGACAGTACAGAGGTGTATGTGTATCTCATAGAGCAATCAGGGGTTGCGAAACTAAGGCCTGTGACTTAATTTCACACGGCCCATGACCACATGAGGCCTAGCACTTCGAAACGGCCGTCAAACGACATTCATCCGTCACTCATTCATCTGAGTTTAACTAATCGGGTACTAGAGGGGCATCTATTTGACATGGCAATGCTGTGTTGCTAATCTTTGTGCCACGGAAAGGGCCTCTTCTCGTGCCGCAAGTGACCGTGGTGCGTGTCAATGTGTACCCTGCCAATATTGTTTGAAAGTCATATTTGAACTTCAGCCAGGAAAAAGGTTCCCCACCCCCGTCTTAGAGGAATGGATATGATGGTGGAAAACATCCCGCACACCTGTAATTCATAGGCATAGGGTGTGAGTGACTGCGCACGGTCGACAAAGGTTTAATTCTGATCATTTGGTTCCATGCATTATTAACGCGCTTATCCAGGAATATCCTGTTACTGTAATGGAGGCTGGGTGACCAGTGCGTGACTGTTGGGGTCGCCCCCTTCCCTGGGATTCAAAAACATGGAACGCACGAGAAGAAGAACATCTCACAATACCGTAAGAGGGGTCAACAATCGTTATCGCGAGCAGCGTATTATTACGTAACCATTGACTCTGGAAGACTGGAACACATTTTCCAGGATGGCAGCTACCTCTCAAGGTGTACGATCCTTCGAAAACCCAGGATAACTGACAACCCGAGTGAATCTCCTACAGAAGTACATTTCTACCCAACGCTTCATTTCAGCTGGGTCTGTCCAAAAATGAAAATCCCAAAAGGCACGCGACACCTCTCGCTGTGACTACTCATCGCATGCCGTCTGGAATCTACCAGTGACGTGGAAAACATTCAATGAGAAATGAAGCCCCCGCTTTTATCCGGACACTGCACCAAGCAACGTTCCCACATAGGGAATGTCCCCGGCTCCTCGCGGTGTCCCGCGTTTGTGAACGTGGCCTCATCGTCGCCTGTTCGCGATGAACAGTCCACTGAGTTGTTCACCGAGTGTCCTCGTCGTCGCCCCGGTGCTCGCGGCAGGTCAACGCCACACCGCGGCCTGTCGGTGGGACACGTCCCTGCAATCCGCAGTGCATTCGTTTGACTTCAGCCTCATAGCTAGTGGGGTCACAGGACAGGTGAAACCAACACAACATCTGACGTGTGCCACTCAACCATTGCAACCAACATCGAACCGACACTGCGTGCGGTGTTAAGGGGCTGGCGTTAGAGCTGTAGAACTGGAGTTATGCATTGGGAGAGGCGCATCACAGCTGGCCCAATGCTGACGTTTACATTTGGAGTTACGACAAAAAAAATCCACTTATGAGAATAGATTTTCCCCTTTTTTTCTGGCAACAAATAGGCAAAACCTATTCTCATGTTTTGGTACTGGCAAAGGAGGTCCCATGATGTCATCCACTTATGCAAGGGGGGGGGGGGATGAAATCTGCATTCAAAACTGAGGTTTGTAAATATATGCGCTGGTCTGTGGTGGGGTCTGTGTTCGTGCTAGGGTTCGAGCGCCGCTCGGGTTTTGAGCTGTAATGAGACAACACGTGGTCAGCTACCGGTATTAGGGTGACAGCGAGGCGCATGGTGAGTGCTGGTGTCGGAGCAGAGCAGTCCCCTCCCCGCGCGCGCTCAGCCAACCTGCCCCTCCTCACCACTTCGCCCACCAGTCCTCCTCTCGCTCTCGGCCCGCTCGCCCTTCCCTGGCTCTCAGCTTCTCTCGGCCCAGCGGGCTGGCAGCCCCATGGCGAGTCCGTGATAGGACGATGAGAATCTGCCCTCAAGGTCTTCTGAACACACGGGGTAGGGTTAGTATTTTGCATCGCTCTGCATCGTCACCATCATAATGATCATCGTGATTTTGTGTCGCACGTGTAAAGTTTAGATCAACGATAACCGTGCTGTCGGCGGCGACGATGGTTAGTGTAACGAGTAACAATGCATGGCTCAGCTGTCATTTAAATTGCTCAATGCGTGTTTCGTGCGCACACCGGCTTAACTCAGGACATTCAATTCGACTCACGGTTTGATTTATGGTAAAGCCGAGTAACGATCTGGCTAAAGTTGTGTCGTCAATACCCTGCACCACTCGACACAACCAAACAAATGAAAGTGTCATCTGTGCAAGAGTTTAAGAACGCGTCAATTGTTATTGTTTCAGCTCACTCACCGGTGAGTTGGACAACAATTTTCTTCATTCTCAGGACCGATTATTATCAATAAGATAATCGGAATATCTAATCGCTAAATTGGGTCGTGAGAATATAAAACTCACCGATGAGTGACCTGAAACAATAACATCTGGCGCGCTGTTAAACCCTTGTAAAGGTGACAACTTCGCTGTGTCGGGTGGTGGGGGGTCTTAACGACACAAGATCATTGCTGCGTGGCCTAATCAACTATGGATAATAATAATAATATTAGCGGCAAAAACACGCGTGTTAAGCTCATATTTTACGAGTGACTCACATTCATCTCAGGTGATACACCTTTAATGACCGGTGGGTTTGTGTTTACTTGTGAATGAAAGAACACAACCGTGCCGACTTGTGTGTGTGTTTAAATATAATCAGCACGCGCTGCGTGAGCGTATGCAGGAAGAGAATAAAATACGGCTCTCTGTCAATCCACTGCTGGATGAAGGGCTCGCCACGCTCTCAGTTTTCGGGGGGTTGCTTGACCATACTTCACTACTCTGATCAGTGCAGGTTGGTGGAGGGATGGTGGCGAGGGGGTGAATGGGAGACTTGGAAACTCTTCAAATATAACTCGGCGCTGCCAGGAATCCAACGCAGGTGGCTGGTGCACAGCACAGCACGCGAACCACCAGCGAGCATGATAGAATCACAATTCGTACGCACGCTTGTGGCGAGCGGTGGCGCAGTGGTTAGCACGCTGCGCTCTGAATTCCTTGAGTTCGATTCCCAGCCACGGCTCACATCCGTGGCGAGTGATGTCTTGCACCTGTCCTGCCCCGTCCCCCTGTCAACCCGCGCTAACCAGGGCGGTGAAGTATGGTCAAACAATCCGGGTGACCAACACGGTTCAGCAGTGGATCGGAAAAAGGGGTGACGCACCACCGGGACGATATCTATACCGGGCTGATCAATCCGAACCTGTGCACACCCTGTGACGGGCGATTAATTAATTGATTACTGAAGCAGCCAAACGCGGTCGCATCATTAATTGAGGCTGTGTGAGCTGGGGGAAGCCTCTTAGACCTTTACGTCGGAGAGGCTTCCAGTAAACATCGCTCCTCTCTCCCTCCGAAGCTGCGAGAAGTCTGCGCTGCTGATTGTCACGTAAACTGCCGTTGATGCTATGCCGTGCAGTACTCATATAACGGCGCACAGCACTTTGTCAATGACGGCCTCCGCACGTTGTGTCAATCATGAGGGATGCTTGACCATACTTCACCACTCTGGGTAGCGTGGCTTGATTAAGGCGGTGCCCAGGATCGGTTCAAGATATCCCTGACCACGGATGGTAGCCGTGGCCCGGAGTGGAACCTAGGTCGCCGGGTGTAGTGCTCAGTGCGCCCGACTGCGCCACTGGTCGATGCACCTGAATTGTGACTTTTTCTCTCAGTGAGTTGAGTTCCACCCGTGACTCACCTACACGCAAAACGGACATTGACACGAGCATCGTAAGGAGCTTTCAATTCAAGTATGTTGGCCAATGAATGCACAACCGCGCCTTACATTGATTAGCTGGATGATGGTATAAGCCTGAAGTCATTACCGAAGTGCGCTATCTGCTGTGAAGTCGACCTCCTCAAAGACCCGACATTGCAATTGCTCCCTGCCATGGGTAAGGCAGAATTGCCTCCTCACTTACGGGCACTGCTCAGAGCTCAAATGGAGCAGGAAAACGCCGATGGGTGGACCTGACGTTTCTGCAAATCTCACTAAGACGTCGCTCATGAACCAAGCGGGAGATACATCTCGATGAAGACGGAGCCCAAAAGGATTTAAACAAACCTGACCTTGATCATTGGATTTTTACCCTTTTTATCTGGCAACAAAACTGACACCTTTTTAACAAGGAGTCATGTTTGCATAGACCACAATACCTGCAGTCGTAATGCAAACAAAAAACATAACTCTGATAATGTATGCACTGTCCTTGAAGTTTATTGGTCCACACCCGAGACAGCTTTCCTTAGAGCCTAGTCTCACATGGTTTTGTTGCCAGATAAAAGGGTAAAAAAACAATTATCATATTTTTTACTGGCAAATGAGGTTCCAATGGTGTAAACCTGACCTTGTGAGATAAGTGCAGGGACACTGGCTGCGAAGTTCCCCACTCTCAGCATAACGTTGTCGTGAGACGAGTAAATTACAAGTTGGAGCTGTTGCAGAAAGCAGTGCATCACCCTGTGTTAGAGAACGGCACTTGTCGGTGGTCTCACTGAACCGTGTGTGACGTATCTTCAATTGTTAACCCACACGTGGGAAGCTGCACTGGGAGACGATCCTGAATAGAATAAAACGAATAAACTGAGACGTGATGCGCAGTCACTGGTGAGCAGGTTGAGACAGTCAACTCGCTCCACTCGGAGAAACGCGCTTTCATTTAAAAAAAATGTACTCGTGAACTCGCTGTTGCAAAGCTGTGTGGGTACAAATCAATTGTAAGCTGAACTCCGGTCTGCCTCTCCACATATAAATTCACGTAATGTTTTTGGTCCATCGGCCTACTGGCTCTCCCGGCCAATATTCGTCAGCATTTGTTTAAGGGAGCTGATTCTTGCGAGAGTCAGTTTCAAAGACAATGCATATATGACCAGATCGTGTTTATATTTTCACGTTCACCACAAGTACGTGTGGTTAATGCAGACATGATTCCTTGAAAATGTTTCTATTTGGTGTTTTAACATATTAACACCTGTTTTAATGCCAGAAATTGTAAAACCTATTATTATATAGAGTCAGGCTTGTTCAACAAATTCTGCAGTGTAGACATGGACGGCTGAAATCTGGATTCGAACTCAGGTTCTCAGCGTCACGCGACTACCCCCAAACTCCACGCCTCTGTGTACCTTGCCCCATTGACTCTCTGTGTTGGACTCTTATCTTCCTTCAGATAAAGGAATTGTCCCACTGATCGTTCCCTGTCTGAGTCGTAGTTTCCCAGAGTATGAGCTCAGTGATCCGTGCCAGACGCGCTCCGCCCGCAGGCTGTCGATCCAGCTGTCAATGGACGTTCTGACATTTCAATATTGATACGTGCCAAATTAGGGGTGTTTATTTAAAAAAAAACATTAATTCAGCCCAATGCGTGCAAGTGCTCAAGGCGCCGCATTGCAAATGCCCTAAGTGTAAGCTGAAGTTCATAAACTCCCGATCAGCAAGATTCTGTCTTGCCACGTGGAATTTCAATAAAGCAGCATTTTAGTCAATTAGGTTAAGCACGAGCCTCGCGAACCCGCGTGCTTTTATGTTTTTGTTCGCAGAATTTAGGCAGGAAACACCGTCGTCGTGTTGGTCTCATCAGCAATGCGTGTGGCCCGGCGAGACAATGGGTTTCCAGCCACTCGATATCAGAGTCGTCACAGTGCGTCCTTTTAAATCGCATTACGTCTTCCCTCCCTCTGTACTCCCGAAAATTCCGCTTGATTAAAAAGGCCCAGATTACGTTTGTTTTAGGCATTGCGTGCAGCGCTGATGATGAAGAGGTGCTGCTGGTAAGGTTATTTTCGGCCTGTGCGTGTATGCAATACTCACTTTTGTGGTATGTTGAACATAAGGTGACGATGCATTTGCTATTTGTGACTTCAATTCGCATTGACCAGCGTGGTGAAGTATAGTCACATAACTGCCTCCCATTCCCGTCTCTCACGACGTTGGGAGGCACTCATCCAGCAGAGGATCGAGACAAGGGCTGTTCGTGTACACGTTATTGTGTAGGCTATTATACGCACGCGCGCGTGTGTGCGTAAACGTTGAAGGTGTGTGTGTGTAGGCGTACACGTGTAACCGTACACTTCTATACGCCCGAACATAGCCGCGCTAATGCGATTAAGATCATGGTTAACGGTCGTCGCCTGGATATACTTTCGCTGATCAAGCAGCACAGAGCTTCTCAATCGCGTTGACGTTACAAGCTTCCCACTCGTCCACCGTCGACTCAGACCCGTGATCTCTCCGAAATTAATGAAATGCAGTCGCGCCCGCCCAGTGCGCTCTTGTTGTGCACAGACTGGAGCCTCGACCGCGAAGTTCAACACCTCTGGCTTGCCACTTGCTGACGCCAGATTCACTTTGTACAAACGCTCATTTGCGAGTGAGGGCACTTTGATTTTCGTTCGCTGATGACGATGCTCACGATGACGATGAATTATGATTACAGGAGGCGTTTCCAGAGAAGCTCACAATTATACCGGACTACTCATGCGAAGCAATCCGCGGTCGTGTTGTATAAGCTATTCTGTTGCAGCTCTTTTTTATCGCGTGTTTTTGGGTATTGTCCGACGTGCTGCGAAGGGGGGGGGTGTCCGACGTTTCGCTCCGCGTGATGGGAGCTTCAGGAACCGAAGAAGAAAGCTTCCAGGAAACTGGAGCGAAACGTCGGACTTAATGTCAAATCCCACATCGGAGAGCTACGTCCCTGTTGATGTGTCGTGAGATCGCGGGATCTGCCATGACACGCGTTGTCAGTCGCCGCGTGCTGCGTGGCGATTTTCCCCAAATCACCAAAAAAAAGCCCCTGTAGATCCGGAACGCGATAAACCGGAGGGAGCACATTCGGATGCATGTGTCCGGTCACGTCATGTGCTTAGCGCGGTGCGCGCAGTGCATTCACACGAAGTTCACAACCTCGTCAACGCTCCATCATTCGCGTCCTCCTACCCCCTCCACTCCCCCCCCCCGGCGCCACCGTGCCAGCATGCGGCTCGTTCACTGCTCTCTGCTCTTCTTCTGTGACTGCAGAGAGTACGGGGGGGGGGGGGTGTAATTAGCCCCTCCAGTCCCGGGTGGGCTGGAGGTGGAGGATTGAACAGCTGGGTGGCGACTTCATTTAAAATGCACGGCAGGGGCGCCACGGTGGCTAGGAGATGTTAACTTCCTCGCTTGGTACACAGGAGGTCGTGGGTTCGATCCTGCTGTACATTTGGAGCGGCTTTTCCCTCCACATTTAGAAACGTGCGTTTAGAGTATTTGGCTGCTCTAAATGTTCACATCATA